AATTAATTAATGTATGATGTAGCTAATGTAGCTGAAAATAATTATTGTAAAACACAAATTAGTGAATAAACGTAGATTTTCAAAAAAAAATCAAGTTGGATAAAACTACGCTTGGTATAAATTGATAAGAGTAAAAACATATATTTGACATCACCTGCATGGTGTAAAAAATGGTGTAAAATCTCAAATAAGGAACTTGATATGAAACTTTATCCCTGTATACATATCCTCTACAAAAACGTATTTAAAGCCTTTTCTACTGTATTATACTTTTTATAATGATTTTTATATATTTTTCCAGATAATTTTTAAATAGAGAATACTTAGTATTCTAGTCTAAAGATTATAGCTTTCCTACAGAAACACTAAAATATATTATATTTCTTCTAATTATACAACCTAATAGACACTAATTATATTGTCACAATTGAATACTGTAGATTGTAGACTATACAATACCCATTGCTATCACTTTTTTTCCTTAAACATAACATTAATGTATATTTACAGAGATTCATATAATTATAGAACTATTGCTATATATCAGTTGAGACTAATGCACTAAATCTACAAATACTGATAATAATAAACGTTGCTGTAACAGAAGCTACTTATGTCATTCAAATTATCAAAATCTTCAAGTAGATCATCTACTAATAGAATCTAAAATTGTCGGTCTATAATGAAAATATCTTAGAAAGAATTTTCTATCTCTGACTCTTGTAACAATTGACTTATATTTTTAGTGTGAATCTCTCACTGGTTCATATCTGATTTTTGTAAAGATATGTTTAATAATTTGTTTTATAAATAACAACATAAAATAAAAAGGTACCTTGAAGATTTTTCGTCTCATATGAATTTATGTGTTGTCCTCTTAACTACATGCTAATATGTTTACAAATATTAACTTAAATAATATTCAACATATATTTTTGATAACAATAAAAATTATACCTTAATTATAGTAGCGAATGTATAATTATTATATAATAATATGTTTTTAATTATATAATAAATAAATGCATCGTCAATTCTGTGTACAACATAATACATTGACATATATCACGGAAAAATACTAATAGAATTCAAAATATATTATTGTATAGGGTGGACCATTTTGGTTGTTTCTATAGAGTATCTAGAAAACCGTGAGAAATATTCAAATTTTGATACTGCAGTCTCGGGTTCTTTTTTTGAAATAATCACAATGGCGCAAACGGATTGTGGCTATCTTGATCGGTTTCGAAGCTACAGAGGGATTCTCAAATTTTGTACTTTTTGAAGATGTTCGATATAGTTTGTTTATTTCAACAACCACGCAAAAATGAATTAAACATTCTAAGGGCACTTTTCTGTGTAGAATGCAGTGGCGTAGTCAAACTTTTTCGAAAAAAAAAATATTTTTTTGGATATTAACTATACTTATGTTTTTTTTTTAAATACATCCCCCTGTATATTTTTAAATTTCTTCTATCCTTTTAAAAATGGCTGGGTTTGGTTGCTCGCGCTCAAAATACCGCACAAAAAATAAATCAGCTGCCATTTTCTTATGTTTGTTAGACTCAATATAACATTCTAACATATTATGTTTCTCAAAATTGTCCAATTTACTCATTTTTTATTATTTAAAATACACACACTTCAATCTGTTGAAATGAAATGTCACGCATCCATCAAAGGTATTTCCCGATCACCATGACAACGAACGTTTACTTTGTTACTCGGCGCGGCCTACTATCTACTAACTGGATATTTTAAGAAAAATTTGAAATGTTAAGATTAATAGTGAAAATAAATATAGAGTATTATATATTTTCGAGAGGCCCATGCAAAGCTGAATCAGGAAATTTAAAAATATACAGGGGGTTCTATTAAAAAAACAGAAGTATAGTTAATATCTAAAATAATATTTTTTTCGAAAAAAGTCTGACTATGCCACTGCATTCTACACAGAAAAGTGCCTTTAGAATGTATAATTCATTTTTGCGTAGTTGCTGAAATAAACTATCGCACATCTTCAAAAAGTACAAAATTTGAGAATCCCCCTATAGCTTCGAAACCGATCAAGATAGCCACGATCTGTTTGCGCCATTGTGATTTTTTCAAAAAAAAGAACCCGAGACTGCATTATCAAAATATGAATATTTCTTACGGTTTCCTAGATACCCTATAGAAACAACCAAAATGGTCCACCCTGTATATAAGAATTCATAATAAAAGCAGAACCTATTCATCAGACAGCCTGTCAACTTTTTAAAGACTATGGATACTGGCACTCTGACTGCGTGTACAGAACGGGCATTCAAAAACTGGCAATGTCGACTGGCTGCGTAATGAATAGGCTGTGTTAAAACAAAAATGTTCAATATGAATTTATCGATAATGTAAAAATATATTTATAGAAATATAAAATTCGGTATAAACTATGAAATATAAGCGATACCAAATAAACTTTTAGTTACGTCATCGAGGGCGTGATTATTAAATTCATTGTTGCCAATCATGGACATATTCGGCGCCGGGTTGACTAACTAAAATTTAATTTTCCTGTTGGCGATTCAAGATTCAGGTGGTAGCTTTGCTGTAAAAAATGTCAAGTTTCCTAGTGGTTGCCACATTTATTTATTTATTTCCTGATATATTGATTCGTTTTGTCACTTTAGTTTTGTATTAGGAGTTTTTGGTTTAAGTGAATTGTGTTGTGATACTTTAAGTTTTAATTTTTTTACTAGAAGACCTTGCAGTCGAAAATTGTTCTTTTTAGAACCACTTGTAGTGCAAAGTATACAAGATGTCGAAGCAGCTTAACAGCCGTTGCAAAAAAACTCATCGCAGAGCTTAATCACGTGTCTAAAAGTTTATTTGGTATAGTTTAAAGCATCTAACAAAATGTTTAACAATTTTCACTTGATATTCGTATTTTATTTATAAAGTATCTCTGTTAGTTCAAACTTAAAATACTTGTTCTTTGAGCAATAATAATTACTTTTGAGCATAATTTGATATTATTTACCGAAATCATCTATAACAATGCAAGTTTATTGCTTTTTATAGAATAAGATCAAAACTTGCTTAGGCTGAAAATAATTGGTCTTATGGAAAATTAGAATGTTTTTTGTCTGTCAAACTCAAAGCCACCTTTATCAGAAAACTTATTGATTTCTGGGGTATGGTCAGTCAGAAATAAATGCTTAAAATACAGTTCGAACAGATGTAAAAATATAATTCTTTAACTGTAGTTCGTTGTTGCATCTGTTATGTTATATAGTCGTGTCATTTTTCATTTCTGTTTATAAACTGCCATTTTTTGAGTCTCAGCAGATCAATTATTCTTGTTATCTTATAGGGTGTATTCCGTTGCTTACCTTGGTTATGGTTTTATGTTCCGTTTCTATCGGTTTACTGAAAGTTTTCTTATTACGAAACACGGTTCCTGAAAAATTCGGTTATAACTGTCACCAAACTAACCAGCGCGAGAAGGCTGGTTTTTCTGGTTTTGTTTGTCAATCAATGTCATTTATGTGACAGAAATCAAGCAAATATTGGAGGTTCGAGTGAAATTCTTATTTAATTTCTAAAACTTGTAATAAATATTTTGTATTTACATCCAAAAGCAATGGATGTAGGTAAATAAAATTCAAAAGGTAAAGTAAAAGGTAAATAAAATTCATTAACTAAATAGAATGACTTTTTAGGACCATTTAAATTTATCATGCATCCATTGTTTCTTAAAGTCAGGAACATTTAAAGAAAACATAAAAAACAAGATAACAAGTAATCGTGAATGTTTTGTAAACTATAAAAATATAAATATTGACTAGATTTGTTTATTTATTATTGATCTGTTTTAATATTGGACCTGCCAATCTTTACTTGAGCTGGCTAACGAGTTTAACAGTTTTTTAATAAAGTACTTTTCAATATTAAACTCCATTGAAAAGAAGAAGCAAACGTAAAAGCAGAGAATAGGTACATTAAAAATGCATAAAAGATAAATTTTATAATAGAGGCATTGTCATAGAGGCATTGAAATTTAGAAAACGTCAACATTTGACGTTTCCAATATTTTACCAAATCGTTCCGTATCAAACCGATGTTTTTCAGGAACTGCTCTTTACCGTAGTTTAGCGGTCTGGTTCGCCTGATTTTGTAACGGAATACAGCTTTAATCACTCAAATTTTTTGTAACTAAATACAGGGTATTTCAAAAAACGTACCATCTCTCGTGGGGAGATTGCACATCGTTTATCTCATCAAGGAGGCCGTATTCGACAAAATATCAAGAGATAACTTTTAATTGGCATTAAACGGGCTACACAATTTTGATATCAAAAGAAAAAATTCAGTTGCGTACATGTTTTTTTTAATATTCCAGTGATAACCCATATGCACGTCCCTGATGAATTTATCAACACTCTTTTAGCATTAAAATATGTAGCACTTACAGTAACTTTTATCCTCAAAATTTCATTCGAATCACTAAAAGTCGATATGAAAAATAAGTCTTATTTTTACGTGAGGAATCTCCCCACGAGAGATGGCACACGAATTTTGAAACACCCTGTATATCCGGATATGTAACATTTCCAAAAAAAATGTAAGCTAGACTGTATTCCCTGGTAAAACAAGGTTATAGTAAACGCCACGAATGTTTGGGAGTGATTCATCGGTCGCTACCATGTGAACTAATCTGTTCAAGGTCACATAAAACTTAATTCCAGTGCCGTGGTGTTTCAAGTTATTTAATAATCAATATATAATCTGTTGTAATTTGTTTGTTTTAACTGTCAAAGTCTTGTCAAAATATATATTTGGTTATAAATATAAACTGGAATGCCCCATTGGTAGCACTGCAAGCACACCAATGGACTGAGGCACAAAAACGAATCAATCAAAGAAACGCGATATAGTATCATCTTTGTCAATCACACTAACATTTTAGAATAAGTAGGAGGAGCGCAGGCAGATGATTAGACCGGGCCTTTAAAAACCTACGTCTACGGTAAAAATTTACGATAGCGTGAGTGTCGAACTTCATCAAGCGATGAATCACTCCCAAACATTCGTGGCGTTTACTTTAGCCAGTTTGGTTAACAACGGTAAGAATGAGTTCCTGAAAAGTATTGGTTAAATATGAAATGTGTGGTAAAATAATCAAAATTTCAAATGTTGTTTTTTAAATTCAGTCTAAAAATCTAATCTATTTTTAATTTAGTTTAATATTGCAAAATACTTTATCAACAAAAATATGTTAAACTCATCAGATAGCTCAAGTTTTTTTCTGTGACACAAATGATATTGAATGACAATTAATTGAGTTGGATATCATTCAGAAAAAAGAGCTTTTCCAAAAAAACCAGGCTCATAGAAACAAAACAGAAAACCATAACCATTAGAAACGGAATACAACCTTGTTTTTGAAAAATTTCAAAGATCTTTTGAAGATCTTTCTTCATATCGCATCATATTTTTGCCCTGATTGTACAGCAATAAATGCTTACGTCATGGCTTCAGTTAAATTTTAAGACAAAACACAACCTAAAATACTAAAATCTTGTTACACCAAGTAATTTAAATAATTCTTCATACAACGACCTTAGTGTGATGTATAGGCAGTTAAATTGGAGCTATACCCACAAACTGGATAAATACAGACCTAGCTCTTATTTTAATGTCTTTAAATTATATTGCAACAAATAAATAATTTAAAGACTTTTCTTAGATCTCTCTGATCTATGCTTTACCATTCTCTAATATTTTCCTATTTTTTACTTCTATGTAGTCACTTATTTTTTCGCTGTCAGCGCCGCCTGTCGTTTGAGATGCGAACTAACACTGGATACCATGAACAATCCCACTGCCAAGGCCACGCACATGGAGATGTTGGCCCACATGGGTGACGCGTTGCGGAATAAGGGCGAGTATAGATTGGTGAACGCAATGCCGAAGACTTGTGAACCGGCATTTAGCAAACCGGCTTGGGTGCCCTCTGGTTCGGGGTAGGTCAACTCAGAACCCAGTTCAAATCCGACTGGAAGAAGACCTGTCATGAAGAACCTAGAATAAAAGAAAAAAGAATGTAATAAGACTTATATCATATGTCAATTTCTTTTTAACGTGTTTTCTTTTTTAGGTTTATTCAGTAAATAAATGTTTTGTTCGACTTGTAAACGAACTTACATACTTACCCAAGAAGTCCAGCAACCAAATACACCACCCAAAGTCCCTGGTCGATGGTAAATGTAAAAACAACCATTCCAAGCAACGAAAACGCATAAACAACAATGGTAGTCTCCCTAAAGAAAAAAAAATAAATCAGTAAATAAAATAATGAAGGTTGGAACCGGGGGAACTATGCTCCCATCTTATCAAGGACCTGCACAAGTTGGTGCAGGATACACGGATAGAGGAGAGTAGAGGTGTAGATATACAGGGTGTTTCAAAAAACATATGCCATATCTCGTGGGAGATTCCTCACTTAAAAATAAGATTTATTTTTCATATCAACATAGGTCCGATTCTGTTTTGTTTCGTAGCTACAGGGTGTTAAAGTCTTAATATTTTTTTCGATTTATTATAATTTTCTTCCATTAATTGCGTTTATCTCATCAAGGAGGCCGAATTGGACAAAATATAAAAACAACTTTTAATTGGCATTAAACGGCCTACACAATTTTGATATCAAAAAAAATGTCAGTGGTGCACATGTTTTTTTTGAAAAATATTCCAGTGATAACCCATGTGCACGTCCCTGATAAATGTATCCACAGTTTTTTAACATTAAAATATGTATCATTTATAGTAACTTTTACCCTCAAAGTTCATTCGAATCACTAAAAGTACTTGGACGAAAATTATAATAAATCGAAAGATTATTAAGACTTTAACACCCTGTAGCTACGAAAAAAAGCAGAATCAGACCTTTTAAACCTAACTTTTAACCTCAATATATATATATATATATATATATATATATATATATATATATATATATATATATATATATATATATATATATATATATATATATATATATATATATATATATATATATATATATATATATATATATATATATATATATATATATATATATATATATATATATATATATATATATATATAACTTTTATCCTCAAAATTAAATTCAAATCACTAAAAGTTGATGTGAAAAATAAATCTTATGGCACATGTTTTTTGAAACACCCTGTAGAAAGGAGTCCAGCCTTACAGGTCGCAGTATTCCTGGTACAGGACGGCCCCTAATTATTGAAAAAAAATAGAAGAATGGCACAAAAACCTAGTACTTACTTGTATTTACGGAATTTGTCCAGAACATATCCACAGCATACTGAACCGACCATGCCAGCAACAGTAATGACTAGACCAATACGACCGGCATCTTTGTCTGCTCCCTATATAAACAGAATTGTTCTTTATAACTAAATCATTTATTTGCTTTCATATAAAGGCGCATTCTCATGACCCATGTACTTGACAAACATTTGTAATTGGTATACAGGGTATACACGGTGCGTTGAAGTTATTTATTATAGGAGCTACGCCGCACTCCCGCCGGACCCTGTAAGCGAATAAAAAATACTTGCCAAGTACACGAGTCGTCAGAGTCCACCTTAATATAAAATGTATTGGCAAGATATTTATACTTACTTTGTAAAAGTTAGTGACGATGTCGTTAAGCAATGTAGAAATGGCGTAGAACACTCCGACGTTGATACCGTAGGCTATCAGAAGGAACATAAAACTGCGGTTCTTGAATAAATTCTTCAGACTGGTAATGAATCCCACTTCTTCTTCTTCGCCTTGCTGTTGGGCGGCGTACGATGGTGGTGTAGGCGGAGCACTCTTGAAAACTAACAAAAAAAGAAAATATGATTAGTTATATTATTCAGAGATCACTGACAGCTCGTGGTTCAGTACTACGGGGGTGTATTAAGAATATTACGCAGGGCCTAAATGCTAAGCGTGGAACTGGTCTTACCATGTTTGACAATGAGAAGGCCGTGGAAAAACTTTGACACGAGGGTTGTGTATATGTTACAGTAAAAGTTGGAAATCAGTGATTGTTAACAATTACTAGTAAAAGCTCACATTCACTGATTTGAGAAGACTACGCCAGTAAAAGTTCAACAGCTATTTTTGAGGAAAACGAACGTGCTGATTTGCTCGCCAAAATTGGTACATGCTCGCCATTCGTGTGCCCAGAACCGACACTTAGCGTTCCAAAAAATCTCGTAAGAGACAGGCTCGGTGAATGGGTTAGGGGTGCGACGTTCCGGGACTGGAATGACAGTTTCGGAATGGAACATGCCAAGAAAATCCTAGCAGGGTCATCCAAACATAGAACAGGAGAACTCCTAAAGGCTGGTAGGAATGGAGCGCGTACACTCACTGCAGTGTACACGGGCCACTGCCGGCTGAGATCATACCTACAGAAGATGGGACTGGTGGAAGACGCCGAATACCGACTCTGTATGGAAGATGACGAAACAATGAAGCACGTTATGTGTACCTGCCCCGCTGGGGGCAGGACCAGGTTTGAGATGGTTGGCAAACCCATACTAGACCTATCAGACCTAGGAGACATATATCACCCTCGAACATAACGGCCTATGTTAAAAGGTTGGGTCTCGAGGGTGAACTTTAACGCTCTTTGTATATTGAAGAGCTTGTAGAAACTGAGCCACAATAGGCCCTCGCGGCCGCAGTCCAGGAGTCAATACTCTTAGTCAATACAATACAATACACTGTAATGCAACACACTGTATTTTATTAATAAAATTAAAAGAAAATAATAATAAATTTGAATAAATATAATAGTTGGCGACATAATTCCGGAAAAAGCCGCACCGATCCGAAATTATCAAAAGCTTTGGGTCGCGACCGTTGCAAGAATAGCGCCAAATAGTGTTTATATTGTCCTTATGGGCACTTTCCAATCTAAACTTGTTTCATTTATCTATAGAAGTAATTTTCTCTTTTTAAAATCAGAATCTTCAAAAAATAAAAAATATTTCAAAATTTAAACAGAGCTCATTGAAAAAATACAGAAAAGTCTTTAAAGCGTCCATTTTCAAAGTAATTATTGTTATTTAGTGAGTTTTATTTAAATTTTATTTGCTCAAACCCGTGATAATTGTGAAAAAGTGGCATTAAAAAGTTAAAAAGCTGTGTGAACTGTGAACTGCAAAAACCATCGTGGTTATCGACCGCTTTTATATAGCCAAGGATGCAAGTGTGTTCAGTGAGATATTAATTTTACGTTTATGCAGTTATATTTCTATTTTTTTTTTCGTTGGACTTTCTAAATACTAGTAAAAATGACTAGAAAGTGCGGAATTTCTAATATAAATGTAGAATTTCTAATGTAAATATGGAGTTTCTAATATAAAGGACTCCGAATTATCTGTTCATAGGCAAGTAAAGTATTCAGTTGTTCTTTTATTTATATTAAACCACATGGCATACTTTCTGGTTAGATTTCCTAAGAATATTGATATTCGTACGGAGTGGCCAAATTTGTTTTTTATATAATTTAATTTTTGTGACAGTAAACATTCCATTTATTTTTCAAATATATGCATTTTACAAATTAAATTTTTAAAATTAATGTTCAAATTTGGCGCATGGACGATAGGTCCTCGACTAGGATAGATAGGGTAGAAGCATCGCGTGTGCAACAAAAAAGAAGATAAATGGAAGTCGTTGATATGTTTGCGACAGTTTCCATAGTGATTTACTTATCCACGTAAGTATAATATGATCTAGGCTTCTACATATCCGGATACAACGGATCATTAAATTAAATTATAGATTAATAGCCACATTAATATACAAAATAAATAAATCAATAATCAATTACTATCTAAATCAAAAAGAAATATTTAAGTATAGGATCTCTACGATTTGTACTAATTAATCTTAATCCTTTAAGAGCATCGTGGGATAACGCGATAAGAAAGGTGTTTGATTTTTAAACTATCGTATGATCCGAAAGATTAAGTTTATCTTCGATTTTAATTCGATTTGAAAGACGATATTATTTTATAAATTAAATTTATAATCCAGGATTAACGAATAAAATATATACCAAGTTTTCTTAGCGTCTGCCGTTGGTTGATATAAAAAAATTAATAATAATCATTGTCATATATTTTACGATTTTGCACATATGGAAAGAAAACATGATATACTCTGTTTTTTCTCAGGTAAGATTTCGACAGACGATGACAGAAGAAAATCAGATGACGTTCCATACCAATCTATTTATTTTACTAAAAAAAGTTGCTAATAATTTTTAAGTTAACTATGGATGGGTTTAAATATAAATCCGTCATGCGTCGTTTTTTGTTTTTTAATCAGTTGGTTTATTTCAAAAATGACAGATCATATTTCAATTTTATTGGTTTGACGGAACGATGAACGACAAATGGACGCCGATGCGTATAAACTCGCCTTTAGATTTTTGAGGCTTGTCAAAGTCTTGCCAAATTATAGGTTATAATTTTGTGTCAACTTATGTCAAATATCTGCGTTTTGGAAGATGATGCATTTTGATTCGTGTTATTATGTGTGTTTTGTGTCTTTTGAAGTGAAGTATCGTACTAAACATATACTAAAAACTGGAGTAGCTGTAAAATATCGACATCACACGATCAGGGCCGGCGGAAGGGCCGGGCGACCCGGGCGACTGCCCGGGGCGCCGAATTTGAGGGGCGCCACGCCAGCAACTAAAATATTTAAAAAAAATTGTTCGTGGTATTTTACTTATAACTGAAATGCTATCAACTTTTTGTAAATAACCCTTCTTTCTATAATTCTTGTTTGAATAAATTTTCTCTAAACAAACTGTTTTGGGTCAAGAGCCAGCAAAATTGACAGTTTTAGACTGCTTGTTGCTCAAAATTGCACTTTGTTTACTACCCATACCCATTATTTGTTAATGGCTGATCTGCCCTAAAATTATATGAGACAAATATTCATTCGCAAGAAGCTAAATAGGATCCCGATATCCTTATTATCAAAAAAAAGCTTGTAAGTTTGCCTCATTAATTTATTAACAGTAGTGGGAAAAATATCAATCTTTTGGTGATTTTGATTGTTCTGGATTGAATATGTAGTAATACATGGTAAATGGTAGCAGATCATATCTCTTATCATTTATCCGGGTGCGTCTTAAAACTGGCTCACTCCTATAACTTGTTTATTTTTTCAGATGAAAAAACGAGATTTGGTATGTTAGTATACGACATAAATTAAAATTAATTGACGTATTCAATTGTTTTTGATCACTTCCTCTTTCACCGGAAATTAATAAAACTTTTGATTTTTAAATGTCAACCTCGGTATATTTCTACTTTTTGCGATAGAAAATGACAGTCTGAATAGAATGACATATCATATGTCAACTTTTGACATTTTCGCATATGGATTATTTGAAATTGTAACATACGGTTCAGAACGACAATTTGACTCGAAATATCAAGTGTGTGGTACAAAATTATTCGTAATTTTTTTTCCAAATATGCAAATGAGCCATTGACACACCAAATGACATAACATATGTCAACTTTTGACATTTTCGGATATGGTTTATTAGAAATTGTGACATGCGGTTCTTAACGATAATTTGGCTCAAAATACCAAATGTGTGGTACCAAATTATTCGTAAAAAAATGCTTTTTCTTAATATGCTAATGAGCCACCCTCGTTCCATTTGAAAAAATTGGCATATGATTAAAAATTCGATTTGGGCATATTTTAACCGACCAGGACAAGATACGAAAAACATTAGACGATCAAATCTATTTTTCCAAGGCTCATTGTTTAAAAATTGGTGTTTTTAATACAGCCATGGCACTCTAGATTTAAATTTAAAATACGATTTTTTGAGCAAAAATGTCAAAAGTTGACATATGATATGTCATTCTACTCAGACTGTCATTTTCTATCGAATAAACCAGAAATATACCGAGGGTGCCATTTAAAAATCAATATCTTTTTGTTGAAACAGGAAGTGACCAAGAGCAATTGAATACGTCAATCATTCCTAATTTATGTCATATAATAACATACCAAATTTCGTTTTTATCTAAAAAAAATAAAAGAGAGGGATGAGTCACTTTCAAGATGCACCCGGTATAGAAAAAAACAACCGCGGACTAAGATTGAGCGAAGAGAAGAATTTTGAAGTACCTTTAAGTTAAATTTTATTGTTAAAGTAGCATAAATATGCTTAGATGTTATTGTAACATGTTAACTATGGGGGGGGAGAGCGCCAGATAGGTTATTTGCCCAGTCTCAATATTTCCCTTTCGCCGGCCCTGCACACGATAGGTAAATAATGGATTTTAGTACTGCAAAAAAATAATATCAAAAGGTACTGGTTTAAAAAAATTATGATTAGAGTTAATTAAACAACCTTTAAGGTATAAAATTTGGTAAGTGTTATTATTAATAAAATAGTTTGTTTTATTAATAATTCCTTATTAGTTAATTTGTAATATTCCTGAGGAATATTACAAATTTGTATTTGTAGATAAGTTATAGTGATAAATATAATAATAAATGCGGGAAGTTTCTTGAAGCTTGAAAGTTCTTGAAGAGTTCTTTTTTATATTTTTTTGTATGTGGTGTTTTGTTCTTGTTTGTTTCGTATTAAACGCATACCTTTTTTTTTAATAAAATAACTCGATTACTTTTTTTCAGTTTTATACAGTGTTTTTTTCACAATATTTTGAAGTAATCACTTGTCAGTCAACTTTTAAATATATTAATTTTTTGCTATGCGTCCAGTTGTACCAACTTATTTCTTTGTAAAATAAAATAAATTACTTTGAAATTAAAATGACAGACACATCTATCACTGTCAAGGATCTTGTCCTTGAACAAACTATGTTCAGAAAAACAGGATTCAATTTTAAATTCATACATATTATAAAGAAAAAGAGATCAAAAGTCTGGACATAGAACCAATTTCAAAAAATTAATACATGGAGTCAACTATTGATGATCTGCAGATAAAAATCATTGACTAAAAATATTTGACTTTTAATTTCATATAATCTAACTTAAAATTTATGTGCTCATATAATTATCATTCATTGTTCATTTTTTATCGTAGTTTTTGTGATTTCTTATTTTTTTAATTTTATATGCCCTCGAATCATTTTTGTATGTCTATTTTAAAATTGAATGTCTCAAATCAGAATTTCAGTCAGCTGCTGTATCGAATGGCCTTGATCTTAAGTCCCGCAGGAGAAATACGGTAAGCTGCTAGTAGATAGTCCAAAAGCAAAGCGAATTTGAATAATAGTCACTAGTCACTAGTAATTCTAGTATTCACTAGATAACAGTTGAGGGTTGGTACCTTTGGTGTTACAACAACAAAATAAAACACTAATTCACCACATATTACACCAAAACACGTTACTTTTGCACTGGACGCGCGTTTCGCTAACCGTGTTAACATCATCAGCATATGATTAAAGCTAAATTAGTATCTACAATTGAGCGTTTATATAGGCGTTCCATTAAATTTTTCTATGAAATTAAAAACAACGAAAGATTACCTTTTTTAGTTGTATGCTATTTGATATCTATAGAAAAAATACCACTGCACGCAAATATATTGCTAATGAGGTATATCATACTGATGAAAATAAGATGGCTAGTTTAAATTTCTTAGTTCATAGATTACTTAGTTTTCCACTTATCAACGAAATATATGAAACAGAAAGATATTACATTAGGCATGTAGCTGAGTGTAATGGATATTGTCCATCATTAGTTGATAAAAAAATTAGAAAACGTCGGTATAAGTTTGCGATTTCTGCAAATTCGACTTTTCAAGTCGAGACAGATATGTCAAAATAGTTTTCAATACCGTTTGATAGAGAGTTATCTTACGGTTTAAAAAGGATTTTTAAGAATGTCAATTATAAACTTGTGTATAGTATTAATAATAAATTATAACAATTATTAGGTAATTCTAAAGATAAATCACCTCTACTGGAAATGTCGGTCTTGTATGAAATTTCATGTAAAGATTGTAATCAGATATACGTTGGGCAAACTAGATGATCAATATTAACTAGATTTAAGCAACATATGGTTCAGATAAGATATGGTAGACTGGATAAATCTTGCGTTGGTCAACATATTGTTGATAAAGAATTTTGTATAGATATTAATAATTTAAAATTAATTAAACAAGTCTCAAATTGCAAGTAATTAGATGTATATGAGAGCGTCGGAATTTGATAAATGTAAAGATAGTATGAACAGAGACAATGGTCCAATTCTTTCTAGTCCTCTGTTCCTATTGCTCTAGTTTCGAAAATTAATTGTTACGCTCTGTTGATTTTGACTTGCTTGGCTATAGTTGTGCCACGCCTTCTAGGTGCCAACTGAGCTTCTGTAGTATAAAGGCTCAATTGTAGATATTAGTTTAGCTTTAATAACCTGCTTATGATACTAACATAGTTCTCGAAAAGCGCGTCCAGTGCAAAAGTAAAGTGGTTTGGGTATTGCGATGAATTTGTGTTTTTTTTTTAATAATATTCACTAGTAAAAGCTTGTTTCAAAATAAGTTGTTGAAGTTTTACTGGCGTAATATTAGCAAATTAGTGAATATGAGTTTTCACTAGTCTTTTTAACATTAACTGATCTTTGGCTTTTATTGTAACATATCGCACCTTTAGTCATAAAGAGGCACAGCACAAATTATTATTATTATTACGTCTTAGGTATCTTTATGATTAAAGGCGCGATACACATTTAATGCAGGAATATAATACTTACAGCATAAAATAAGAATTAACAAGATGGAAGTCAGAATGGCTACACCAATAAATAAAATATATAGCTGTCTGGTCACTTGCTCTACTGGCCCAACCTGGACAATCATGGGCGGTATTACGAATCCAGCCGCAATACCAATCTGAAAATTAACAGAAAAATATAATTAAATAAGAAAAATCCAAATAGCAATAAATATATCTTAAGCTGATGTACGCATCTTGGAAATAAAATACATAATATTCATTTTGGTAAGGTATTTACGGTTAACCAACTTTACATTATGACTGTTATTAGGGTTCAGAACCGGAAAATTCCGGTACCGAAAGTACCGGAAATTCCCTGTTCTTTTGAGATATCAAAGAACCGGGACTCAAAATTATTAATTTCCTGTTCTTTCGGTACTTTTGGAACTCGGTAATAAAACATATTTTTGTTACGTGCTAAAGACTTTTCATACTTTCTAGCGATCGAAATCAAACTTTTCTAAATAAGTAGGTTGCTTTGTCTTACTGTTTTTACTTCTGAAGTTATTTTGAAGTTTTTATAATGTTTATTAGCAATTATTGAAGTTTAAATATGTTATTTTATTATTTAATATAATATTACTATGAATGTATTAGTTATATTTTTTTGTGTTATGTTTCTATAGGCATTTGCATCTTTAATTGAAAATTTTAAGTTTTTTTCTAATTTAGTTAAGTTGGTTTCATGGTTGGTTAATGATGTTTGATGTAATTTTTAAGCTACCTATGTGTTTTTTTTCGCTTGTGTCATGTTTACTTTCTCATGACTTAATAACTTGATATTATTTTCATTTGAAACTCAATTTTTTATCGGTTTTGCATTTGAGAACCATCCCTTGCTTGCTAATTGGCGTTACTCCACAATCGTTGAACGAAAATATTTCAGTACGGTTCTGGAAACTCTAATTAATACTACCAATTAGGGTTCAGATCTTTTTGTCCATCACAGAACCGGGCCTCGGTAACAATAATTAAAAAAAATATTTTTTCGTTATGTGAGAAAGTCCTTTGATACTTTCTAGCGGTCGAAATCAAACTCGTCTAAATAAGTAATGATGCTATTTCTTATTGTTTTGAATTTACAAAAAATTATAGACTTCAAAAAACAAGATTTTGTTTTATTTTAGCTTTATGAAAATTGTAACAAATAGTATTTTCGATAAAAAACTAAGAATGTGCTTTAGTGTAATCTACAAAGTCTAAGTGAAACGTAATGATAAAATAAATATCCAGTTATTTTTTGCGCCACTTTTCACCACTTAAAATATGTCAAAGATTACTTTAATCATATGGTATGATATAAAATCTGTGATGAGTGTTACATTGGAATGTCACATTACTGAATAGATAACAACGTTTAATTACTAATCGATCTAACCTTTCAAGTGTCAAATTGAACAATAATAAAAAATTAAATAAACAAACACCGATTGCAATCGCACACTTGAAGATGTCAATAAGTAATGTGAAAGTGTTCCCAGACTTGTATATGTATATTTTTCAGTGAATTAGTAGTGCGTAGTAATTTACTTATCGTTTACTACATTGTGTCAAAAGTTACCTATTTTGAAACTATCGAGTATTCTAAATTTTGCGGCATGATTGACACATGTGATAATTGTCACAACACGGAAATTTTTAGTTGTAGGTTATTTTCCAGTGACTAAAAGAACAGAGTCATCCCATTGCATTCTCGTCTCCCTTACTTCTAAATACGGGGCTCTGTAGAAATGGACCCACTAACCCTTGCTGTGAAGCTAAAGGGAAACCCCCTAACAACACTGAGGACATTAACAATGCAAGTTCCAAGGGATACTATTGGATTAACTCCAAAGTGAAGGCACCTGACACTTGTGCGAGACCAGCCTCCGCAAGTCTCACACAAGTTACCACCTCTTTTAGTAAGGATCAGGAGGCTACCTCTAGACTCAACAGGCTATACAGACTACCGTTTCTTCTGCCCGGTCTGGGCCAACCACGCGGGCAGGAGTACGAAGATACCTCCGACTGTTCCATGAACGATTTGCTAGAGAGGAAGCAAAAGCGAAAACATCACTCCTCGAAAAATAGGAGAGTAAAAAAAACAGAAACGCCCTGGCGCATCTCCACCAAAAGTCAAGGAGAGAGCAAGAATCTTCCACCTGTACTCTGGCAAGGAGGAAAACCATGATGGAAAGCCGTCCAACACCGGGAGGCAAGCAGAAACGTATCACTTGCTGCATCATAGCTTTGCCAGAACTCCAATGTAATCACATCGAGTTGGCGATTAAACAACTCGTGGGAGGTGGGACATAGTAAGCTCCTCACAATAGGAATTCACCTCAAATCCAAGGAGGCAATAGAGAAAGAGAGATATATCCTCTATTGTAGATTCGAAACAACGCCGGTATCTAGTGTAAAGAGAGACCAAGTTAAAGAAGTGGAGAAAATGGAGATACATATTCCAGCATCCACCTCACGGGTACCTCAGCCGGAGACAAAGTCCTCGACTGTGAAGGACACGGAAGGCCAAACCCCAGCCGTAAAAGGCTAATGTCTACTCCTTGCAGAATAAACATCTGTTTTCAGAGGATGAGAAATACCCTGACCCCCCTACAACAGGAAGATCCCCATGTCTGAGTTATAACTCATGAAAGGGAAACATAATAGATCTTTAAGGTCGCGGTGATTAACCCCCCCCCCTTCAACTCATTCTACATTCTTCAGCATGTTACAAGGACGACATTCTTTATGAAATAATAGTTACCTGTTACCATTTACCACATACTAAACCAATGAATACAGAACAACAAACAAAATCGAAAAATGTTCGAATTAAAGAACATGATTATTTAAGAAAGGGAGATTTTCACAAATCTAAGATTTGTCAGCATTCATGGGACACAGGGCACAGAATAAATTTTAATAACGCCAAAATAATGAAAGAAGCGATAGCCTCTAAAAGAAAAATAAAAAAGGCTTTTTAATACAATATAGTAAAAATAAAAATGTTTTGCTCATGCATCTGTAGATGTTAGTAATGTATGGCAATCGCTTCTTTGATTTTAAAGAACATAACATAAATAAACATAACATACGTAAAAATTAAAAATAATCATACAGAAAGTTTGGGGCTTTTTGGTTTTACCTTATTAAGTAGTTGTTATCAGGTAGTAATTGTTAATTTTGAAGTTTAACTTGATAAAATGTCATTTTAACAGAACGTCAACGGTTTTTGTAGACGTATCTGTTTTAAAAAAACTAAAGTGTTCCCAAGTAGCATTTGGACGTTATCTAACGTCGGGTTTACGTCGCGTTCAATAAACCCGACGTCGGGTACCAACGTCGGTTGCTGACGACCCTTATTTGCACCTAAAGGGGAATACAGATTCGGGTCGCCTCGACGTCGGTATCTGGCCTAATAGGGAATGTAATTCTACCAATTACCAACGTCATATTACGTTGGATTTTAGTTACTTAAAATTCGTCGCTAAGCACTTACGTTACGTTTGGTTTTCATATTCGCTACCAAGAATACATAAAAACCTAACCAAACTACCTAATTACAAATGGATTCATAATCACTCCTCGAATATAACTATAAGTGCCTATCTAATTTCATATTATAATAATTCTGAATCATTAATCCAGACATCAGTTTTAGCAACGGAAGTCACTTTCTTGATATATTTGATTAAAATACTCCGGAAAACAACGAGCGCCTTCAAAATTAGGTAGATTTATGAAATAAAAATATCTATAAAAAAGTAACTCACAAAATATATTTTTTTTATTTTCTAGCTGGTTTAATCATAAAACCGTACTGTGGTTCCCCCCAAACTCAACCTTATCAATATTATTCTACTAGAAATCGAAATGTTAATATAAATTTTAAAAACAAAAAACGATTTTAAAATGGCTTTCAATCGGATACGTGTTAAGAATGGCGGATTTCTGTGTCCGACTTAATATGAACTACCAATATACCAATTCCGACCGGGTCTCCAACATTAGTCGTCTCACAGGACCGAAGTCATTAAACCGGACGACCGGCAATCGTATTATGACGTACCTATATAATTCCAACGTACGCTACGTAACCTCACTTTGCGTATCAGTGATACTATATTTTAGTTTTTGTTTTCTCCTTAAAAAATTGGGCAGCCACTTTTTTAAGCCTAACCTCACATGTCGGAGGAGGATGGGGTCTGCTGGTTTCCTAAGCTAAAAAATGAAATTAAGATGCACCAGTGTAATGCAGCATCTCTTCCGGATAAAAAGCATTTACGGGTGGAGGCAAGACATCACAACTACTATTATTATTTTGCAAAAGACCTCTTTCTTTAAAATGTAGATGAATGTCTAAATGCCTTTTTAGTGTTTTTTAGGCATAATAAAAAAAACTAAGTTTGTTTACAAAAACTTTTTATTAGGTTATGTTCATGATGTTCATTAGGTCGCAAATGCTACTTAATGGGTTGTATTTACGGACGTAAATAGAGATACGTAAATTAGGTTATAAATATGAACATAAAATACAACAAAATATAATTGGACGTTACTTTAGGGATTATCAGTAAGACGTATCCTATTCACAACGGGTAGATGTCGGGCTAGTTTATGTACGTCGTGCAAGCCAACGTAGGAACGACGTTGGGAAATTAATAAAAATGGTACGTTGTTATTTTGTACGTCGACAGATCGTTGGATTTACCGACTCGGATCCAACGACGTCGCTTTTAATAGGCAAGCCACGTCACAGGTCGTATCACCAGCACACAGTACGTAGTTAGCTGGATAGTACCAGCAAGTAGTTTCCGTTTGGGATTAACGCAGAAGTGTTTACAAAAAATAACTGTTTTATTTTGTAGATTTTCTTGCAGTGGCGAAATACCCATATAAGATTTTTTGGAGAGATGAATCCGCCACATAGGTATAGACATTTTTTATAATAATTACCTGGTTTCCGAAAACTCCAATACTGCAAGCGGATGAAACTTGGTCAGGACCAAACCATATGGCGGCCAAACGAGCAGGTACGGACAATACAAAGACTTGCGATAAGGCTACGGAAGATTGTCCAATGAAGCCAATGTAGAATCTGCTTGGGTCCACAGAGGCCACCTTTATCCAAGCTCCGAGACACGTTCCGAAAATGCCAATCGTGATTGCCAATCTCATACCCTAAAAAATATATATGTTTTTAGTTATTTTTTATGTCATATTACCTTTTTTATATATACAGGATAGGTCTTAAATAAGTGCAAATATTTTCAGGGGTTTGTATACTTTAACTCCGGGAACACGTCTATGAGTTGTTTTTTTCGCAAAAAAAAGATTACTTTACGATTGGAGAATCTCAGTTTTACTCATCTCTAATTAAAAGTACTAACGTCAGATTTTAGCATACCCTTGCTATATTTACTGATAAAAACTACTATACAGGGTGTCCCAGAAATAAGTGCAAGTATTTTAAGGGGTGGTAGATCTGGTCAAAAGAAACATTTTTTCTATTTGCCATTTTTCAAATAAGTCCAAAATAACCGAGTTATTTTACTTTGAAAATTTAAAAAAAAAATGTTTTTTTGCTTAAATTTTGAGAACCACTGGATCTTTTCTAGATTTTTTTTCATGTAAATTTAATCTACTACCTATGTTGCCATATTATCAAGACATTATGTTTTTTAACTTAAAACTAAAAAAAAATCCAAAATTTTTTTCAAAAAATTTCAAATTTTCAATTTTTTTTTTGCGAAAAAACCTCATTGGCCCGTTTCTGAGGCCGAAATATACTACCAGTTAAAATACTTGCACTTATTTCTGGGACACCCTGTATAACGCGAGAAAAAATGCATGTAGATATTTAAATCATCGGCACATTCATTCATTTCCTTCTGAGTGTATAGAATACTGTAACAAAAAACTAATTCTATTTTACTAAACATAAATATAGCAAAATGTTAATAAAAGATTAATGTCAGTGAATCTGTTTGAACAATAATTTGAAAAATAATTTTGTGGGAAATCTTTAAAAATATACAAAAAAAAATATTTTAAATTAAATAACTCTTAACTCACGCATTTTGAGTGAGTTAAGAGCTTCTTAACTCACACATTTTCATTACCGCACTCCTTGTTTAGATGACTACCAAAGAGAAAAAAATATTTTGTAAAACATTTATTTTGCACTAAATACAAATAAACTGTTATATTGATAATAATTATAAAAACATAAAAACTTATTTATTATAAATGTTAATGACACAGTTTGAACAATCTTTCAAGTACATGCCGGATAAAGCAGCATACTTGTATTCGATATATTCAAATTCTGATTCTGATGATTAGCCGTGGCAAATTGAAAGGGCTCTGGGTTACTTGGTTTTATTTTTTTAATGTTTGCTTCACAACTACCTCCCGTCTCGCCTAAAATTTTTGACGCTATTTTTATTTTATTTTCGGCGGTATTTTCGATATAACCTTCCGCCACTGTGTTAGACCGCCAGCCACCATGACGCTTTACTGTCAAAAGATCAGAGTCTGTCTGTTTATTATATTTAGACGTAAATATCTATTATTACCTGATTTATTATCTATTTTAATTATCATATTTTGTAGTAAAAACAAGTTTATATAAAACTGTCATAAATAAACTGTAAATTCGCAAGTTCTAATAATTAGCAAGATTTCAGTAACCATTAAACAATCGGAAAAACCGTCAATTTGAAAGATTTTTCGTCAATCTTTTTAACATCTTATTGAGGTTCATGTAAATTTTTGTTATCGTTATCTGTTGGTTAAATCCAGTTACGACACGTATTAGCGTACATAATATAAAATGGGGTACTAACAAGTATACAGACTATAAATATAAACAGAAATAAATATATTTTTTAGGTCCATTCATACAATCCATATATAATTATTGAATGGTTTATATTTTTGAAATGTGTTTTAAATGGGTTTCTTTTTTCTTTTTTTGTTTTTCTTTTATGATTTTCCTTTGGTTTCCGTGTTTCCCGAATAAATGATGTCCACACTGGTAAATACCGTACGATCGAAAAAATGGCGTTATATGTTATACGGCGAACAGTGGTTATATGGTTGTAATAGTCTAAGAACTAGCAACATTTTCGAGAAAGTATTTTAAGACGTCTGGCTCTTTGATATATATTTTTTTTATATTTTACTATGCTCTCTGGAACAGCATGCGGTCCGTCTGGCTGCCGATACCCGTTGCGTTCACTACTGCGCATCGGAAGAAGATCCTATATTTTTTATTAATTTAGTCCTATAAATTCTAGTATTGAATATAAATCGAACATGTCTCTATAGCACAGTGCGTAGAGTTTCCGACCACGAACCGATGATTCAGAGTTCGAATCCGGGTCAGGGCAAAGACCTTTTTATTTTATTTTCGTTTATATTCTGATATTAAAGTATTAAATAATTCTGGTAGTTAAAAAAAACAAATATTTAATACTTTACTATCAGAATATAGAGAACAGAGACATGTTCGATTTATATTCGATACTAGAATTTAAAGGACTAATAAAAATATGGGATCTTCTTTCAATGCGCAGAAGGGAACGCAACGTTTACCGGCAGCCAGACGGGCCGCATGCTGTTCTAGAGAGCATAGTAAAAGATATATCAAAGAGCCAGACGTCTTAAAATACTTGTTTTTCTGACATTGCTAGCTCTCGTACTATAAGTCAATAAACTTTTTTGTTGGCCTTGTCCGAGAGACAAACCTCTGGTGGTATTTATTGTACAAGCACTTGGGTAATACTGGTTATTTTATGGTACTTTTTGTACTAATTTGGTATTATTTGGTAATAAATTGGTATTATTTGGTAATAAACTGGTTTTATTTGGTATTAAACTGGTATTAAATAGGTATTTTGTTGGACATCTGTCAACGGTGGATGTGGATTAGACGCACATGGCGACGGCCGGGGAGCTGATTCCATCATTTCTCAGAAATTGCATTGAAAATGAGCCGCCTTTGCGCTTTTTCAAAAATTTTTAGTGTTGACCTATTTTATATGAAGTATTTTAAAGTTTTTATATTTAGTGTCCAAGGTAAGTACCTACTTAACAATAAAATACCTCGTGATATACATACTTCAGAATAATAACTTGTTTTAAATACAGTCTCTAATAATTTACCATTTAAAACCATTAAAAATGGTTTTTTACGCACAAACGGTACATAGAGTCGTACGAAAAAATGTCAAGAAATTAAAGAACTCTCATCATGGAAACATAATACCTGTTACAATTTTTGTATATTTTATTTTTGTAACTTCAAAATTAAAGATTTTAATAAAAAAAAGAAAAAAACTTTATTGTGTTGGTAAAATGTTAATTGCAGTTATTTATTATATCCCCTTGTATTGACGCCACGATACGCCGCTGGTGGCAAAACATGTCTCTTCATTGTGCGGCCTGCCTAACAGTTTCTTTGACGCAAAATTTTACCAATGAAAACGCAGCTCTATATACGATACTGATTACATACATTAAATCATTTAATGTTTAACTTTATAGTTATACCTATTGTCGCAAAAAGATCAATTTGGTACAAAATTTGTTTTAATACAGGCCTAATAATCGCACATTTCAATTAGCAACATATCAATAACCATTGAACAACTACGGAACAATGTAAGCTTCAAATAATAACTGCAAATATTTTTTTACATTTTATTGAAGTTTATTATACTTTTTGTTTATTTATAACAGTTACGTTATATGTTAACGTACGTATGTGTATGTATGTACTAATAAATGATTTTACATATGATTATAAGGATATAAATGTCCTATTTTAAGAATCCCCATTCATGATATCTAAATATATAGTAAATAAAATACACCAATAGAATTTTAATGTTTCTGGAAATGTCGCTACTAAAAACATATACAGTTCAGGTTGATCACATTAAAATAATATTGAAATCGTAGCTTTATGTCATAATATTTAAGTATTTTAGTTTCTTGCTAGTGCAGTTATTGAAACTATAAAACAAGAAGATTCTGAAGATATTAAAATATTTAGAGTATTATTTTTATTTTTAGAATTTTTACAAATTATACTTCCTAACACTTTTAGAATAATTAAATATTAAATTTTTCGTACACTTGCTATTTAAACTCGTGTATTTGCATATATTAGTTGTTTACGATATTCTCCGATGGTGGCAGCACCGGCGGAGAATTCACCAAGAATATAGAGTCTCAAAATTGTATAGTTTCAATAATTACGCTAGTAAAAACTAAAATACTTAAATATATGGCAGAGCCACAATTTCAATATTATTTCAATGCGATCAACATGAACGTATTTCACGCATTCAGGGCTACCTGAATGCGTGAAATACAGAGCCGGGAAATTATGATTTCTGCCGTACAGAGCGCTGTTGTCGAAATTTAAAAAATCAACTGAAATGCACTAAGCCTATAGATGATTCAAAGTGTATGGGTCCTTAAAACTCACGTTGTATTTGTGATAAATGTTATATTTTTTAAACATAGTTATATCCTGTATCTATATCAAATTTATCCAAATAAACGACGAAAAAGACATATGCTACCTGTATTTGTCTAGTCTATTCAAAACAAAATCAAATAATTTTGCCATTTTTTGAAAAGGTTTCTTTCATCCTTTTATAAGTATTTATAAGTCAGGATTAAAGTAACTAGCTTATAACTATCAAAAATAAGCAGCTCTCCACTAGATTAGGAAAAATCTGAAAATAAGCTTTTTTTAACAATGAAAGATTAATTATAATAGTTTTTGATCTAATCCATCATAAATAAATATTTTGTAAAGATTGAAATTCTATTGGCAGAACTAATGATATGTTTGCTATTTAAGATGATTAATATGGTTTTATATTTTTTATTAAATAATAATAATTAGTTTTAGAATAAGTGTATGAACTGGCTAGTGAATTTAGATAAATATTCAGCGTAATAAGTTGAGAATTATTATGACAAAAAATATGATGATGTGATAACATTTTAATAACCTGTAGTTAACTTTATTTGGCACCTTTTCAAATATTTTATCGAACCAAAAAAAGTATAAATGTTTTCTGTTGAAACTGTCAAAGAATGCTGACTCCTTTTAATATTATGAATAAATATCATAACACCTATAAATAATAATAGGTAAATACATTCATATTAAACTATACATTTCAAGAACCTGAAAGACTTCGTCCATAACCTGCAATGAGAGTCCCCCAACGCGCAACAGTCTAAGACACTGGAAATTTTTTTGAGAACTTACGACCGAGAACAATCAAAGATTCTCTTTTAATTACTGGGAAAAAACGGCGAATACATATTCTGTAACGAAAATGGGGAAACACCAGAACACCTCATCACTAAGTGCGCCGAGACGACAACCATTCATGCCATAAACTTTGGTACGACTAATATTGGAGGTGGAGAACTACCCTCTGTAAAACCATCCCAGATACTGGCATTACTGGCTTTTGTCAAAGCCCTGGGACTGTAGGGTCGGGACTGGTTGAAATCAAGGGAGAAAACATCTCAAAAGGGGCGGCCATCACGGTCTTTCTGCCGAGGAGCAAAGGGAAAAAATACCACCTTCCTGCTGAGTCTTTATCCAGGCTCAGAACTCCAATGTAAGGACATCCAGTTGGCGAATCATCAACTCAAGGGAGGAGGGTTATGGTCAGGTCCTCGCAATAGAAATTGACCGCAAATCCAAGGAGACAAGAGAAAGTGGGATATATCCTCTATTATAAATACGGGACAACACCGGTATCAGGTCTGAGGAGAGACCAAGTTAAAGAGGTGCAGAAAATGATGACAGATCCTCCAGCCTCCACCTTACGGGTACCTCAGCCGGAGGCAAGCTCCTCGACTTTGAAGGACGCAGAGGGCCAAACTCCAACCGTGGAAGGGTGTATACCCTCGGAGGAAGAACATTTGTTGTCAGAGGAGGATGGGAAATATATGATATAGACTGTGTGATGAGTAATATAACTCAAGGAAGGGGGCACAATAGATCTTTAAGGTCGCAGTAACTAACCCCCACCCTCTCACTCATTCTATATTCTGCACCCCCTCGCATTCAGTCTACATTCTACACCTAATGATGTAGTCAACATTTCACAGAATATGGCTCTCTCCAGATGATATGAAGGGACACTTAAGCCATTCCAATTTTTTTAAATAATTAGAATTGTTTATATTAAAGATTTTTTGATTAAATGGAATATGTTTTTGTAAAGTTATTTCTATATCAGCATATGAAAACACAAATATACCAAGTGTCAAATATTTGATTTTAAACGAGTTATTTTATTGAGGTATGCAAAGAAACATGGCGTCTTACACTGAAAAAAATATAAGTAATTTTACAAAAAAAAAATGGATACATTAGAGTAATTTTAATAAGAAACTTGCAAAAATAAGATATTTTTGCATAGTTTTACAAAAAAATGAAATTTTGCAAAACCAGCTTGTTAATCTTAAATGATTATTACTAAACGATATTGTTTTCGCAATGAGTTTTGTAAGTTTAAAAATTAAATTTAAATCAGAAATACAATCTTGTAGTAAAATTACATTTCTCTAGAGTCTAGACATATTCACAAAACTTGTGTGAATTTACCATAATATATTTAATAAAAAACACATCACGTGACGTAGAACAGTTAAATCTAAGCAGATTCTTGAACAGGTGGGAGTCTCAGTGCGTGGGTAATTAGTGTTTTTATAATTTAAGGGTAACTATATTATAATAATTATGTTTATAGTCTATAAAATGAATAACTTTGAATTTTGACCGTTATTTTTTACCAACATGGTAAATACAAAATTCCTCTGTCAAAAAAGTTACTGATATTCTTTAAATTGAGTGCCTGAACGAATCAGATAGGTAACTCTTTTTACTTTCGTGAAATAGAAAAGGAAAATAATAAAACAAGTGACAGTTCTTCCTCTTCTTACAAAAATCAACACAATTGTCAAAAGTAAAATGTCATCAGCTTTTGACATTTCTAAATATCAGACCAATGCCGTCTCTAATAGAACAGCCTCAGAGCGAGATTTATGACGTCACGCTAGTTAGATACTACGGATTAATAAATAAATTGTAGAATACATGGAAAACATAATAATTCCTCGAATTTTTGGTTTGTATTTTAAAAATGATATAGTTTACATAAAATATACATATAATATACAGTTAATAAATACAATATATATTTATACTATACCTATTTATACTAATAAATAACTTTGGCAAATAAATTATGAACCATACAAATACAGCAAATGTTTTATAATATACAAATAATGAATAGGTACATAAGATAATGGGTAAAATGTAAAATATATTTTAAATTTTTGGGTTTGAAAATCGATCTAATTTAACAAAAAACATTCAATATCTACTAATAGTGATGTATTATTATTTGCATTCACAAAATGTATATGAATATTTTGCAAGTATCAATGTTCGAAAAATTATATTTGCAAATAATACAATATCATGGCTGCAGCGATGGCTATGACATAAAGATCGCTGTCATTTTATATGCAAAATTATTCTAAAATTTTTTATTTTCTTGGGATTTAGGTTCGGGAAAAACGCTGATTAAGTTTTCATTTGTTTTTTTCATTATTTTTTTTGGTTAAAAAAAACGTTTCGGCTAACATTATAGCCTTCATCAGTGTTGTGTCATATGAAAAAAATAGTGTCGAATATAATCCAAAAAATTACATATAAAATATTCACACCACATAATGTTTACTGCAATTAATAAACTAATATAAACTTGTCAAAAGATGACGTATTTTTTTAAATTATTATTCTTAACACTAAAACTATCTACATTGACTATGGAATACGATTTCAGCCATAGTAAGTAGTAGATATTGAATGTTGTTTGTTAAATTAGATCGATTTTCAAACCCAAAAAATTTAAAATATATTTTACATTTTACCCATTATCATATGTACCTATTCATTATTTGTATATTGTAAAACATTTGCTGCATTTGTATGGTTCATAGTTTATTTGGTTTATTTGCGAAAGTTATTTATTACTATAAATAGGTATATATATATATATATATATATATATATTGTATTTATTAACAGTATATATGTATCTTTCATGTAAATTATGTTTTCCATGTATTCTACAACATATTTATTAATCCGTAGTATTTAACTAGCGTGGCGTCATAAATCTCGCTTCGAGGCTGTTCTATTAGAGACGGCATTGCATCAGCATGGCCGCAAGTTACTAACCTAATAAAATTAACACTAGAAAAGCCCGCGGGAACTGTCAAATTCAAAGTTATTCGTTTCACAGACTATATATGTAGTTTCTATAAATATAAAACGCAATCTCTATTTATTATAATTATTTGCATTTTAATTTTAGCGATTTTTTTATGCAAACATAATTATTCCATGTTCTCTCTGTATCAACATATCTCTAAGTATTATTTATCTTTCTGTGTCTAACTGTGTTTCGGAGGACAAATTTAAGAGAGGACCGGAGTAGAGGACTCATACATCTAAAGTATCTAAGTTGGTAAGTTGACTGTTTTGATTAGATACCTTTTTCTTATTTTGTATTGCATGTTTTCTTATTTTGTATTTAATGGCAATTTTGTACATATTTTGATTAGGCGCAGAATTCCACTAAGGTTCTTCTAGACAAGAAGAGATGCAATGAGTATCTTACATACATAAATTCTGTTTTGTGACATTTATTAACCTTTATAAATAATAATAAATATTATAATTATAAAACGTGTTTTATTATATTTTTTCATACAGCGATTTTACAAACGGGTTGAACAGGTGGTTTACAAAACTAAAGAACAGGTGGTAAATTTACTACATTAATCTGTGGCAAGAAATATCCCTCAATATTATTATTAAATTCACAAATTATATTTTTCAGTGTACGCAATTATAAAAAACTCACCAACTTTTCCAGTAGGTAGCTTCCAGGAAAGATAAACGGAATATACAGCACCATGAATATCAACGACGTCCAATTGACCCAGTCATTGGATACACCATAGTAACTCGTAATCACAGGACTGATGATGGCGTACTGGATCCACTGCATGGAGTTGGAGGCTGAGAAGAACACAAACAGAATCAGGATGAACCATCTAATCGGGTAGACTATGGGTTTCTGGATATCTGGAAGCGTTCCATTGCTGCCCACTTTCGATTCGAGGTCCTGCGTGGAGGAATTCATGCTTTTGTAGCTGAACTGTGAACCTGAAAATAAAATACTCCATGTAGTGCCCTTCGTTTGTTCTTTTTATATTATTTTTGATTTACACCAGAATGGAAAGTATAATTATTACTCCAGTTCTGCTTTCATACAAACGATACAAATGGTCCATTATTGCGCTTGATATACACCATTTAGTGTAGTAATGTTTCATTTTGATTGACATATTATGTCCATCATAATGACATAAACATGTGTCTATCACAACGTTTGAGAGAACAACAAGTTGTGTTCGCTTTCTGTATAGGGTTTTTAGAGATACTTAGTGTAAAATACATAGTATTATTTTATACAGGGTGAGTCTTAAGTAAGTGCAAATATTTTAACGGGTAGTATACCGGATGCGTCTCAAAAGTGGCTCACCCCTATAACTTTTTTATTTTTTCAGATAAAAAAAACGAGATTTGGTATGTTAGTATATGACATAAATTAGGATTGATTGACGTATTCAATTCTTTTCGGTCACTTCCTGTTTCACCGGAAATGACTACAACGTTTAATGTTTAAATGGCACCCTCGGTATTTTTTTTACTTTATTTGATAGAAAATAACATTCTGAATCGAGTGACATATTATATGTCAACTTTTGACATATTTGCTCGAAAACAAATTGCATTTTAAATTTCAATCTAGAGTGCAATGGCTGTGTTAAGAACACTAATTTTTAATCAAGGAGCCTTGAAAAAATAGATTTGATCCTCTAATGTTTTCAGTGTCTTGTCCTGGCCGGTTAAAAGCTGCCCAAATCGTATTTTTAATTATATCTCAATTTTTTCAAATGGAACGAGGGAGGCTCATTAGCATATTTGGAAGAAGCATTTTTTAGGAATAATTTGATACCACACACTTGGTATTTCGAGTCAAATTGTCGTTATGAACCGCAGGTTACAATTTCAAATAAACCATATGCGAAAATGTCAAAAGTTGACATATGATATGTCATTCTATTCAGAGTGTCATTTTCTATCGAATAAAATACAAAAATACCCAGGGTGCCATTTGAAAATCAAAAGTTGTAGTCATTTCCGGTGAAACCGTAAGTGATCGAAAACAATTGAATATGTCAATCAATCCAGATTTATGTCATATACTAACATATCAAAACTCATTGTTTTATCTGAAAAAATAAAAAAGTTATAAGGGTGGTAACTTATGAGACGCACCCGGTATTTCGACCCCAGAAACACATTTATGAGTTTTTCTTCGCGAACATTTTTTATTAAATTTCGAATTTTTTGAAAAAAAAAATGAATCTTTCTAATATTTATTTAAAAAACATAATATCTTCATAATATCGCAATATAGAAAGAAACCCCAGAAAAGATCCAGTGGTTCTCAAAATTTAAGCAATTTTTTTTTATTTTCAAGTAAAAGATGTATCTGGTTTATTTTGGACTATTTTAAAAATATTGGCACTTATTTAAGACTCACCCTGTATAGTCTTCAAATGTACACTATGCATTTTGTGTAGTATCTCACCCCTACATAAATTTTAGTAGAAGTAATTTTCAACTCTACCGATAACAGATTTTTTTTTTCGTAAAATGGTCTTTATACTATTTACTACATTTTTTGTCCCTTGTGAAAAATTACATACATACTTTTTGAGAAAAAAAATGTTTTTCCGAAGCTACGCTTCGTCCTACGTGGGCGATGAAAGCGCGCAATATGGGCGACGTTATCAAATATTGTGAATTAAAAAATTTGGGATTTTTTAATTTTAAGTAGTTGAAATTCATAAATATATTTTGAACACCCAGTAGCATTTAACTAAAATATCTTTACATATACATATCTTTTTTTCATCTCTAAAACTCTCCTATCAAATTTTGGTGCTCCAACTTCAGAAACAATGGCATCACTGACAATTTTTTACCACACTGCAATCTAACATTTGTTTAAACAAATTTAAATATTATAAAAACTATTAATTTTAGGTATATATCATTATATATAAAAAAGTTATGGAATTTTATGCAGGATCTAAATATAAAATAAAAAATAGGGTGTTGCATTTAAAAAAAACATATGTGATATCCGCCACACTTTTTTGAAGCATCTTGTATACTCATGTATAATAATTTTAAAATGTGTATCTTAACCTTCCCTAAAACTTTTATATATAACATTTTTTTGTAAACCTCCAAACAAATGAGATACTGGACTTTACTCTATCGTTGACTCACCCTGTACAGTAGGGTGCACCAAAAAAAATATTTTTTTTCTTTTTAGTTACCGTGAAATTAAAAAAGGTTTTTGGTTAAAATCATACTGTATCTCCGTTATTAATAGAGGGAGGAGGATGGCGTTTGGCACCAACCTATCTCACTTTTTTCTCAAACCGAAAAGAAAAACTTACTTAAAATTTTCTAAACAATATGAACCGATCTCAGACACACCTAAAAGTCATATTTGACAAATAATGATGACGTAACGGTGAACGATGGCTGAACAGTCTTTATTATTGATTGTAACCCATAATATGATCTTCCAAATAGGCCTCTAAATACGAAATTTTGAAAAAAACTTAAATTTTTAATATATAAGTTATTTTGAAAGATCAGAGAAAGAATTCACACGAGAGGGTGTGGAATAAATAAATAAAGTTATTTTCTCGGAATTTCGGGGAAACGGTAAAAAACTAGAAAAAAAAGTTCAAACAAAAGTTGTGGAGAGGAAATTTTATATATGATGATCTCTATACTTCTTTTGCTCAGATCAAAATTAACCGCGATAGGGTGGCTAGAAAAAGGGGTGGAAAAATATAAAGTGTTTTTTTTTTAATTTCAGAGAAACGATAAGGACTTTGAAAAAAATTGGCGCCGGGAGGCACGTATAGCCGCCCATACTAACATAGCCGCCCATACTACATAAAATATGTTAATAAAAAGTTGGTAGGCAGTTCTTTTAGTTTCAAAGTAAAGGAATGTTTCCAAATTTCTTTTTATCTCATAAACTGCGACTTTGACTGATTTTGATGTTATTACAAATTTTGTTGCAAATATTATTCCTAATCTTAAATAGAAAACCGCGTTTCGCTAGCTACTGTAATATTGGAGTTACGATTTTTTAAAATTATAACCCCCTCCTATACCCCCTTACCAACCCCCCACCCCCACCAAAAACTAATAGCCAGATTCCCGGGTGCCACAGTATTTTTGTGCCAAATTTGGTTAAAATCGGTTTAGCGGTTTTTGAGTTATCGTGTTACAGACGGACGGACAGACGGACAGGTGGACAGACGGACAGACGGACACCATAAAAATATTTTGTATTTAGGTCATTTATGACCCAAATAACTCATTTTGAGTGAAATTAAAAAAACTTTTTTTTTGCCGATCGTAATATAGCCTACCATACCCATTGGTATGGTCGGCTAAAAATGTTTCAATAAAAGTTGTTTCCTAGCTTCTAACCACCCTATCACGGTTAATTTTGATTTGAGCAAAAAAAGTATAGACCATTTTTATGTAAAATTGGACGCTCTATAACTTTTATTTGAATTTTTTGCTGGTTCTTACTAAATCTACAAAAATCTTTTACAATTCGTTTTTAGATCTTTCAAAGTAACTTATATCAAAAATTCAAGTTTTATCCAAAACTTCATAATGAAGACTTATTTTCTTGGACTGAAAAGAGTATACTTTTTTTAAAATATTGTAATTTTTTTTATTCACATATGTTGTTTCTTTTAGTTTGATCTAAATAAAATTTTGAAAAAATTCATTGCAAAAATTACAAAGAAAAGAAGACTACAACTAGAATATAGAAAAAAAAACACTAATAGTGTTAGTTACTTACTTGAAAAAGATCCAACAAACCCGCTTCGAAAAGCTCATCGCACTCTAATAAAACAAATGAATGGAAGTGATAGCTTGATCAGTTTATATATTAATTGTCATAAATACATAAAATTCGCAATCTAGACCGTTTTTATCTTTGTGATCTTATAATATACGGCACACGAAATTATTACATTCGCCAAGAACGGGAAATAAGAACAATAAGCATCCTCCAAGCAGCCACTCGAAATACTATCAACCAAACCACCTATTCGAGCATCCAAATTAACTCGTACATACGTAATAGATCGTCCAAATTCGCTAATTTTTTTCGGAAATATTTGAATTTCGTTTTATTCGAATTAGCACGAAATAGCAAAAATCGATTCACTAATTTCGATCTCGGTCTCAGCGTGAAAAACAGAATATGAATCGGAACGCATGTATACATTTTTTAATCGACTTTGTTGTAGGTATTTTAAACAATTTTGCGGTTGGAAATACATATTTTTTAATGATAATTCGAAAAGTAACGTAACAATGGTTGAATAAAGGTATATTTTTAGGTTTTACCTGTGAGATCCGACGAGGTCGCTTGGTTGTTTTGTATTTTATTTAGCGCGAAAGGTTTTAAAGTAAATAATATATAATGGTGCGAAATTCAAAAAGTATACAGGGTGCTACAATTTCGAGGTACGAGCATTGGTATCTTGGTAACCGTAATAGATACGAACATGGTTAAATGGGGCAAAGTTGCCGCTTTGGGATGTTCACCAAGATGCCATCAAAAAAGTTTTAAAAATTTTGCTCGTACCTCGAATATGTAACACCCTGTATACCATAATAGTCCAAGAAAAAAGACCTTCTATATTAAGAAACAATTGTCAACACCCTGTCCATTGCTTTTCACAATTAGTTCTTATGCTGACTTTTAAGACAGTGAAATAAACTTTACTGAAAAATTTGAATGCTTAGTTAAAAATTAGATGCTTAATGTATATAGGGTTATGAAAAATTGCTGGTCTATCTTAAAAATATATTTTACATAAAAATTTCGTTATTTCAAATTCAACACCCTGTATTTTTTAAAATTAATCAATGAAGTAAATTTAAAAGCTGTTTAAAACTCTATTAGGTTTTCCTATACCTATCTAGCTCAGATTTTGAATAACGTGCACCTTTTTAATAAAACGACAACCAAGAGGGCTGATGTCATGGCAAGTTTCTAGTTACAGTTAGTAGTTATTTTCAAAATCGAAATTAGTTTATAGACTTTATTTAAATTTATAGCAGTTTACTTTCATTTAATTTACCTACAATAGTTTAATAAATAATATTTATTAAATATGTAATTATTATCCTATCAAGAAAAACTAAGAATTAGTTCTTTTTTATTTTACGATGACTTGTAGATATAGTCTATAAAATGAATAACTTTGAATTTTGACCGTTATTTTTTACCAACATGGTAAATATAAAATTCCTCTGTCAAAAAAGTTACCGATATTCTTTAAATTGAGTGCCTGAACGAATCAGATATGTAACTCTTTTTACTTTCGTGAAATAGAAAAGGAAAATAATAAAACAAGTGACAGTTCTTCCTCTTCTTAAAAAATCAACACAATTGTCAAAAGTAAAATGTCATCAGCTTTTGACATTTCTAAATATCAGACCAATGCCGTCTCTAATAGAACAGCCCCGGAGCGAGATTTATGACGTCACGCTAGTTAGATACTACGGATTAATAAATATGTTGTAGAATACATGGAAAACATAATAATTCCTCGTATTTTTGGTTTGTATTTTAAAAATTATATAGTTTACATGATATATTATATATATACCTATTTATAGTAATAAATAACTTTGGCAAATAAATTATGAACCATACAAATGCAGCAAATGTTTTACAATATATAAATAATGAATAGGTACATAAGATAATGGGTAAAATGTAAAATATATTTTAAATTTTGGGGTTTGAAAATCTATCTAATTTAACCAAAAACATTCAATATCTACTAATAGTGATGTATTATTATTTGCATTCACAAAATGTATATGTATATTTTGCAAGTATCAATGTTCGAAAAATTATATTTGCAAATAATACAATATCATAGAAAAAAGGCTGCAGCGATGGCTATGAAATAAAGATCGCTGTGATTTTATATGTAAAATTATTCTAAAATTTTTTATTTTCTTGGGATTTAGGTTCGGGAAAAACGCTGATTAAGTTTTCATTTGTTTTTTCATTATTTTTTTTTGGTTAAAAAAAGCGTTTCGGCTAACATCATAGCCTTTATCAGTGTTGTGTCATATGAAAAAAATAGTGTCGAATATAATCCAAAAAATTACATATAAAATATTCACACCACATAATGTTTACTGCAATTAATAAACTAATATAAACTTGTCAAAAGATGACCACCGTATTTTTTTAAATTATTATTCTTAACACTAAAACTATCTACATGGACTATGGAATACGATTTCATCCATAGTAAGTAGTAGATATTGAATGTTGTTTGTTAAATTAGATTGATTTTCAAACCCCAAAATTTAAAATATATTTTACATTTTACCCATTATCTTATGTACCTATTCATTATTTGTATATTGTAAAACATTTGCTGCATTTGTATGGTTCATAGTTTATTTGGTTTATTTGCGAAAGTTATTTATTACTATAAATAGGTATATATATTGTATTTATTAACTGTATATTATGTATAATTCATGTAAACTATATCATTTTTAAAATACAAACCAAAAATACGAGGAATTATTATGTTTTCCATGTATTCTACAACATATTTATTAATCCGTAGTATTTAACTATCCTGACGTCATAAATCCCGCTTCGAGGCTGTTCTATTAGAGACGGCATTGCGTCAGCATGGCCGCAAGTTGCTAACCTAATAAAACTAATACTAGAAAAGCCCGCGGGAACTGTCAAATTCAAAGTTATTCGTTTCACAGACTATATATGAATTTTCTATAAAAGAGCCAATTCCAGCCAATTCATTTTCTTCACTTCCAACGACAGGTTTCTGCCTAATAGGTTACACACTACCAGCTCAGCGAAATAGGACAAGTAGTTCTTCAAAGGAACGTTTATAAGGAAGATTGCTATTTGGATATCTCTGAGCATAAGCCCTTGAGGCCAAGAAGCAATTTTCATTATAAAATAAAATCATCAGTAACTTAGCCATTCGTTCCGCCAGCAGATACTGCATTATTTTTCTTTATAAAATAATGAATACTTACTTATTAAACTATTGTGGGTAATTTTAAGTAAACTGTTACAAATTATAAATAATAATGTCCATAAACTAATGTCGACTTTGAAAATAGTTACTAACTGTCACTAGAAAATTGCCATGGCGATACCAGCAATCTTGATTGCAATTTTATTTAAAAATCGCTTTTTATTCAAAATCTGAGCTAGATAGGTATAGGAAACCTTAATATAGTTTGAAAGAGCAATTAAATCTGCTTCGATCTATTTAAAAAAATACAGGGTTATAAATCTAAATAATAATGTCCATAATCGAATTTTGATTTCGTAAATAGTTACTAGCTGCCACTAGAAAATTGCCATTGAATCGCACCAGCCATCTTGATTGCCATTGTATTGAAAACTCGCTTTTTATTCAAAATCTGAGCTAGATAGGTATAGGAAACCCTAATATAGTTTGAAAGAGGATTTAAATCAATTTATTTAAAAAAATATAGGGTGTTGTAATGAAAATAACAAAGAAAATATAATATGTACTTAAATTTGTTCAGCAATTTTTGGTACGCCTGTATAAATTTAAGGAAGCAATAACATTTTTTAGTAAAGTTTATTTCTCTACCTTTAAACTCAGCGTAAGAATTATTTCTGAAAAGTAATGTACAGGGTGGGTCAAATTCGACGCTTTTAAATGGAAACACCCTTTTCTCTAGGAGATAGACGAAAACTAATATCGGTGTCTGGAGCTCAATTTTTGTCAAAAACATGATGGTGAAATCCGCACATCAATATCTGTTACCGTTTTGGAGTAACGGGGTGTTTTTCAAAAATGTGCATTTTTAACAAATCGCTGTAACTTTTTTGCTATGGAAAATTTTGTATTTCTATGAAAACATTTCCAAAGCACCTTTTTACGTAGAATTTAATGGTTTAAGTATAATTTTTTTTAAATTAATAATTTAAGAGTTATCAACAGAAAGAATGATTTTTTATTTGGGACACCCACTATATTTTTAATTAACTGAAAAGAATTTAAATTACCTTTCCAAAAATATAGCACACTGGATATTTTGTTATAATCCCCTTCGAAATACAGAATTTTTAAAAGTTCGCCACTTTTAACTAGTAGGCTTTGGACCCCTTATTGATGATATGCCCTTAATGGAACTCGAAAACATATTTTTCCAGCAAAACCACGCACCGCCTCTGAACGCTGATGTTATCAGCAAATTTTTGCAGCCAATTTCAAGAATAATTGGATAGCCAACCAAGATACCAGCCGTTGGTCGTCGAGGCCGCCTGACTTAGTGCCCATGGATCTAATCCCATGGATATATTTGCGGAAGAATAAAGGTTCATTATTCTTCCGTATAATCTAGACAAGAATTAAATATACTTAGCAGTTATAATCTTTTACCACCACTGAGTTTATGAATTCCGCGAGAAATGTTCAAAAACTGCCCCGTCTGTCCATAACAGAAGACGGTCGATATGTCGAACACCTGTAGCAAAATCTCATGTCTTGGTTTGCTATTTATTTTTATTGTATTAGATATAGTTTAAATGTGTTGATGTTGGTTAAATATATTTTAAATTATTATAGAATTCTGCATCTCTCATAGCAAATATTATTTTCGTTTTAATTGATGCTCACAGCTAGAATTTTTGCATTACAGCCGGTGCCGTTCAAAGCCTACTTATTTAAAGCGGGCGAATTTTTATATACTCTATATCTCGAAGAGGAATCGAGCAAAATATCAAGTGTGTTATATTTTTGGATAGGTAATTTTAAATTCTTTTCAATAAATTAAAAATATACAGGGTGTCCCATATAAAAAATCAAATTTTCGGTTGATAATTCTTAAATTATTAATTTAAAAAAAATTATACTTAAACCATTAAATTCTACGTAAAAAGGTTCTTTGGAAATGTTTTCATAAAAATATAAAATTTTCTATAACAAAAAAGTTACAGCGATTTTTTAAAAATGCATATTTTTGAAAAACACCCCGTAACTCCGAAACGGTAACAAATATCGATATGCTGTTTTCACCATCATGTTTTTGACAAAAATTGAGCTCCAGACACTGATATTAGATTTTGTCTATCTCCTATAGAAAAGGGTGTTTCCATTTAAAAGCGTCGAATTTGACCCACCCTGTACAGGGTG